ATATATGAGGTGTGAGTGTAATGCCACAATTGGTCATAATTATAATGAATTACAGCATTTTTTGCTGTAATTATTATAATTACTACTGATTCCAGCATTATGCTTACACCTCTATCTATGATCCAAATTGCATTTCTCAATTACTATATATTCAAAATTACAAATTAAATATGCCCTATAGTCGTTAAAAAAAATTACAAATAGCACAAAAATTAATTCATTGAAACTTACTATAAAAAAAATATAAATTTTGAAAAATTATAACTTTATAACCTTAATTATAGAATGTTGTCTAACCAAACACTTGCAACCAAACCAGTAAAAGGACAAAAAAAGGTTAAAGATAAAATAACTGTTCTTCTTTGTATGAATGCAATTGGTACAGATAAACTCAAACCATTAGTTATTGGGAAATCATTTAATCTGCATTGTTTTAAAGGCATTCAAAAAAAAATCTTGGTGTCGAATATACTGCCAGTAAGAAAGTGTGGATAACAGGAGAAATTCTTGAAAGTTGGATAAAATCGCTAAATACCGCCTTCAGAATAAAGTAAAAAAAATACTTCTATTAGTTGATGGTGCTACATCCCATTCAAAATGTGAACTTATTCATATCAAGCTTCATTTTTTATCACCTAATATGACGCCTTATTTACAACTATGTGATGCCAGAATAATATACTCATTTAAATCCCACTATCATAAATTATTTCTTCAAAATATCCTCAATGACATTAATAGTAGAAAAGAAATATCTCGAATTAGTCTATTAGATGCAATTAGATATGGGTATAAATCAAAACTTGATTATTGATTAACTGGTCAATTTGGCAACTAATCGATTTAAAAATTATTTTTTAAAAAAAAAAATTAATTAATTAAAATAAAATGAAAAAAAATAAATTAAAAAAAAAATTTAAAAATTAAAAATAAAAAATTAAAAATAAAAAATAAAAAAATCATTAATATTGCTATAATCAGATTTATTACAGAAGCATAGAATAGTGTAACTTCTCAAACAATCATTCATTGCTAGAAAAAGATCAGAATAGACCTGTCGAACGAATGGAATCACTTAAGTTGGAATATACAGAGCAATGACAATGAAACTAGTATGAATATTGAATCTGAGGTTGAATCCGAAGTTGAATTCAAAGTTGAAGCCGAAGTTGAAGCCAAAGTTGAAGCCAAAGTTGAAGCTGAAATTGAAGCTGAAGCTGAAGTTGAAAATCTTATTTTCGAAATCCCATCCGGTTATATGAATATAATGTTTGCTAATAATTATATTCGAATCGACAATGCTCTTAAAATCGAAGAAGTTGTTTTAGATGAAGCTGCTATTATTGAAGAAGTTCTTCATAAGTCAAATTCAAATAGTAGTGATAAAGAAAGTGATGTTGAAATTAAAATAATTCCTCATTCAGTTGCCTTGGAACAATGTAGTTTACTAATACAGTATGTAGAACAGCAAGAACCAGAAAAATTTGTAAAGGATCAAGATTTGCCACAATTACGAAGTTTGTTAAGATGAATTCGCTTAAATGCATTCAAATCAAAAGAACAAAGGAAGGTAACTGATTTTTTTTAGATATTTTTTATTCAAATAGTTATAAAGAAAGGTATATTACATTTCAAGGAGAAAAATAGTAGCAGGAAAGGTTAAGCTATAACATTTTTTTTTTTTTATCTTTGATATTTTTATTTTTTTTCTTTGATTTTTTCGTTTCTATGAATTAAAAAATCATGTAAGAGTAGGAGTATGTATTGATGATAAATATATAACAAACAACACTTATTATCACTTACTATATTATCAAATTCTTGAGTTATGCAATATTACCATATAGCTCTGCTTATAGTATCTCATAAAATATGTAATCCCCCACTATTTACTATCTTACCTGGTCTGTTTCTTTAGTAAGACCTGATATAGCTTTAAATATAGTATCTGGTCCCACACAAAGTGCTCATGGCTACTAATGCAGATACTATAAGCAATGCTATATAGTATCATTATTGCTTGACCTTATTGTCATGGTGTTTATGTTATTAAAAAAAGTGAAATTAGTAATGCAAAAAAAACCTTTAGCTTGCAAGTATCATATATAAATAATTTTACCTTGAATAAATACAAACAGATATATCCTCAAACTTCCTTGAATGTGATCTATCTAAAATGCACTCTCTGTGAAATTCATCCTAAGTATATGCCTTCACTTAGACAGCTAATATAACACTTGTAGATTTTTACTGCATGCTATATGATCTGTTACAGTGTACTTAGAGACATCTGACCTGTACAATTTGAAATCAGAAAAGTAGATGCACTAATTTAGTAAGATTCACATTATGATCTTTATTTATAACAATCTAAATATATAACCTAAAAGTAGACGAAATGCTAAACAAAGCTTAAATATCGAAAAAGCATTAGTCGGTTACGTAGAAAAAAGAAAATGAAAAATAATATAATTATATGTATATATGTACATACATACGTACTTATCTTTTTTTTAAGCCGCGCTTTCTGAGTGTTTAAAGCTTTGTAATACTAATCCTCCTTTGTTTTCAATCCCCGCATATATCAACCAAATTATCTGATTCAAACAGGTTGATATTAACGAGAATAACCTGTATTAACTCTAATAGTATAATTTTACTTATTATTAAGCCTTTCATTTTATATTATAAATAATGTTTTATTTGACAATTTCTTAATTATTTAAATATAAATAATAGACTATGATAT